CGATCACCAGTGCCCGCCTCCTTGCCTGCCCCCGACGCCCGCCAGGCTTTCGCCGGCGCCCCTGCCTGACCCGCCGCCCCTCCCGGTGCGGCTGGGACTCGGGGCGAGCTGCCTGCCGTCCCGGGGCCAATGCAGTGCCGGCCCCTCCGGGGCCTGGCGGGAGCCCTCCTCACCCTGCTGTGCATGGGGCTCCTCTCCCTTCCGTACCACTTGAGCCAGTCCCCGAAGGGCGTGCAGGAGACCCCCGGGCTGAGCCCCCCGAGCCCTCGGCCCCCCGAGCTGCAGCTGCAGGATGTCTTCATCGCCATCAAGACAACCGGGGCCTTCCACCGCTCCCGCCTGGAGCTGCTGCTTGACACGTGGGTCTCCAGGACCAGCGAACAGGTGACAGTGGGCCCCAGGAGTGGCCCCTGGCCTGAGGGACTCATGGAGGCCTTTCTACTGGGTTGGGGGGTCCCTGGCAGCCTTGAGGGAGAAGCTGCCCACCCACCTGCCGGTTCTCTCTTCCTCCCAGGATGCGGGGCCTCCTGCCGTCCTGGTTGTGCCCCTCGCTGGCCCTGGAGTCCACTACCCCTCAGGCCCATTGCTCCGTCTCTGTTGGGGGCCAGGTGGGGCTCATGCCCCAGGTTTCTGGGTTCCTCCTGGGGACCCTCTATTCCCTGGCTGTTCCAGTACAGGGCTCACCACTGCCTGGCTTTGGGGGCAGTGGTGCATGTTGGGCAGCTTGGGCAGAGGCCTCTAAGGGGTCCTGGCTGACCTGAGCCTGGTCAGGCTGTCCCCAGTGCTGGCCCTGGGTACTGTGAGGACAGGGGATGAGCCCCTGAGGAGGGGCCCACCTAGGTGGGGCCTGTTGGGAGAGGGCTGGAGTGGGAGACATCCTTTCAGAATTCCTCGCAGCCCTGCACCCATGACTGTGCCCAGGGTGTGCCAAGGGTAGCGCCACCTCGCCCCCTGTGCTCGTTTCCTGAGGGAGGGAGGGAGGGTATGGGCTGTGACTGCCGTGGCTGAGGCAGAGGTCGGGGCAGGGGCTGCCTAGCATGTGGGATTGTGTGTGTGTGTGTCTGCACGTGCGCATGCGCTTACATGCATGGAGCCAGTGTCAGTGCTAGACACGCTATGGCAAGAGGCATGTGGGTGACAGGGGCTCGTGGCTTCCGTTTTCCCCAGAAGCAGCTCTGCCTAGCCGAGTCCCTTCTGGCTCTTCCCTTCCCCATTCCCAGTGCCCCCCTCAAGCAAAGTCAGTGATTTGGGGGTGTTAGGAACTATCTCCGGGGGAGACGAAGGGGCAGATTTACACATGCACACCCGCACACCCACCCACACATGCACACATGCGCGCACACTCACACACATAAACACCTGCACATCCTTGATCTCCACTTTGGCCAGTAGCTCAGGGAAGGAAGTGACTGAGCCTTCAGAGGGGCTTGGGGACTCCTGGGGACCTACGATTGGGGGAGGTGATGTCAGGTGATATCGGCTAGAGGCCAGGCCCCCTGGGGAGAGGGTACACCCCCCCCAATTTCCTGGCCCTGATGTCCTAGCACCCTGGATTAACCCTTTCCCCACCAGGCCTCCAGCACCCCAGGCTCTTCCCTGGGCACCCCCTCCCCCCCCAGCCTCTAAGGTTCTACAAGCGGAAGTCGCTGAGCCTGGCCCTCCCCACAGACCTTCCTGTTTATGACGCTGTGTCTGTGTGTACCCGGCAGTGTGGCCTCGTGGTCTGAGGCCCCTTCCTGTCTTGTCTTGATCGCCATGGTGGTGCCCTTGCCTTGGATGGAGGAGGAAACTGAGGCCAGAGAGGAGGAAGTACTTGCCTGTGCCTTACCCTGAAGGCCTGAGGGGACAGAGCCCAGCAGGACCTCATCTCCCGGCCAGGGCCCTGCCTTCTCTGCTCAGACTCGGGATCAGTCACCCCCTCTGTGTCCCGAATTCAATTCCAGGTGCTAGCCAGGCAGCCAGAGGGAGAAGCTGCCAGCTGCTCAGCACCTAAGGGGCTGTGTCGGTCATCACTCTATTTAACCCTCCCAACAACCCCGAGTGGTAGCTATTAGGGGGGTCGATGGCACACTCTAGGCTCCCCGCAGCGTGCCACCCTGGCATGCAGATTATTTCAAGCTGAAAACAATGAGAGCGCAACAAACTCAGGAAGAGGTTTATATCTTGGCCTTTCCTGCCTAAGAGATCTGAAGAGAAAAACCTGCTTCAGGACGGGCACCCTGGCACATGTGAATTAAGTGTGACAGACAGGGAGGATTTGAGTGAAAATCTCACCGCTAGATTCCCACTTGTGTCCCATTATTTCTGGCGGCCCTGCGAGAATTTGTTTACCAAATGTGTGCTCCTTCGCACCCACCTGTGAATTGCTGCCTCCCCCTTCTTAGCCCAGGAGTCTCACTGTTTTGGGAATTTTTGTGCCTATGTGAATTTCCTGGGTGCAGGTATTAAAATTTGATTTTCTTCTGTTAATCTGCTGTATGTCATTTGAATTATCCGACCAGCCAGAAGAACTAAAGGGGCGAGGGACAAGTGTCCCTGGCTGCAAGGAAACTGAGCAGTTAAGCGGAGGTAGGAGATGAATTCGCTCAGTTGAACACTCACCCTCGCCCCCAGTGCAAGGGCAGAGTCTAGAATCTTGTCTTTTAAGGCAGAGTTGATGGATGGATCAAAAGAGGATGGATGCTCAGACAGGAAGGGGAGGGAGACCCACTTTCCCCACTGCATCGGGGCCCCCTTCATCTCCACCCTTTGACTCATCTCTCTCTGTGACCTTGGCCAACGCCCTTCCCCTTTCAGCCCACAGTTTCCCCATCTGCACAGGACAGGAGGGTGTTGGAGCCTCTCTCAGCTCTGCCATCGGGAGCTGGCCTGAGCTGGAGCTGGTTAAGTCCAGGGCTGGTCGCCCACCCCAGCTGGTCTGAGCTGGTTAAGTCCAGGGCTGGGTGCCCATTCCAGCTGGTTAAGGGCAGCCTGGTGGCAGGTGGGCCTTTGTGGCTGCGAGCTGGGGCTCGTGTGCGGCCTTTGTCCCAGGCAGATGGGTGGGCTAAAGGAGGCACGTTTTGTGATCCAAGAGGAGCCTTTCTCTTCTCCACAGCCCCCTCCAGGGCTGAGGCGGGGCTAG